GATTATTCCTTTGAGCAGAATGAAGTAGCCCTCTTTATGTCTTCTGATTAGTTTTAGTTTGAAGTCTATTTTGTCAAATATTAGAATTTCAATGTCTGTTTTTTTCTTAGTACCATTTGCTTGGTATAATTTTTTCAGTCCTTTCACCTTAAGGTAGTGTCTGTCCTTGAAAGTGAGATGAGTTTCTTGCAGACAACAAAAAGATGTGTTTTGTTTCTTAATCCGTTCACCTGGTCTGTGTCTTTTCACTGGGGAGTTCAGTCTGTTGATATTTGAAGTTATTAACGAAAGATATATATTGAATCCTGTCATTTTTATTTCTGTTCACATTCTTGATATAGCTGTGCTTTTCCACAGTTATACCTTCATTGAATTTCTTTCTGCATCCCCTTGGGTATAGTCATTTGTTGGGGAACCCTGCTGTTTAGGGTCGCAGTCTCTCCATGTCCGCATAGCCACAAGCCAGCTCGGCACAAATGGAAAGACTCCTCTTCTCAGCGGGGCGCCTTCTGCTCTCCTTCCTGACTCACCTTTGAAGTGGCCATCACAGATACATGACCTCTGGCATAGGAACTACCAGGTTTTAATCAGGCATTGTCTGACAGTCTGATAGAAGCCCACCGCCACATGTAAATGGGATCCTACAGAGCACCTATCAGCTGAGGCTTTTGCTACTGCCTCCACACTATAAATCTAGTTTCACCCTAATAAAACGGAGCTGTATCACTGAGTCTGACTGAGCTGTATCCTGTGTCTTAGTGCCTACGATTCAGTCTCCCCGGAGGGGGCTATCCTTCCGTCAACAACCACTCACGAAGATCTTGCTTTCACCGTTCCTGCACCTCCCCTCGTGATCCGGTGGCCAACAGATCGCGTACACAGAGGGAGTGTCCGGCAGCTTGGAACGGAACCCGCTTGGCAGCTGACAGCGACCCGCAGAGCCGCCAGCATCCGGTAGACGCGGAGAGCCAGGGACCCGCACAGCAACGCGGTACGCGAAACCCGCCGCACCACAGCAACAGTCATTCCTCTCTTCAGCTCTTTGTATTGCTTCCAGAACTCTCTGAAGGGCTGGTTTTGTGGACATGAATTCTTTCAGCCTATTTATGTCATGGAAAATTTTTCTTTCCCCTTCAACTACAATAGACATTTTGGCTAGGGAAAGTAATCTGAGTTCATGTCTGTGGTCATTTAGAACTGGGAATAGTTTGGTCCAGGGTCTTCTGCACTGAAAACTCACTGAAATGTCAGCTGTAATCCTGATGGGTTTTCCTTTATATGTGACTTGTTGTTTTTCTTTTGCAGCTTTCAGTATTGTCTCTTTGTTCTGTACATTTAGTGTTTTTACTGTGATGTGCTGTGGAGAGTTTCTTTTCTGGTCCTGTCTATTTGGTGTTCTTTATGCTTCTTCTATTTGTATAGGCATGTCTTTAATTTTGAGTATTTTCTCCTACAATTCTGTTGAAGATCTGGTCTGTACCATTATCTTGAGATTCATCTCCTTCCTGTATGCCTATGATGTGTAGGTTTGGTCTTTTTCTGGTGTCACACAATTCCTGCATGTTCCATTTTTGTATTTTCTTAAATTTTTCGTACTCTTTGCTTGAGTGGTCTAGTTCATCCACTTTACCTTCCAGTCTTGATAAATCTTTTCCATTTCATTTATCCTATTGGTGAGGCTTTCTTCTGTAGTTTCTGATTGGCTTACTGAATGTTTCACTCCCTTCTTCATTTCAACCTGAGTAGTCTTCAATATTTCTAACTCTTTTCTGAGTACATTCAGAAGTTTATCCCTATCTTCCTTCAGTTCTTTGATTTCTTTTTTTGTGTGTGTTTTTTAAATTCACTGAATACTTTTATCATGTTTATAATTCTTTTTTTCTTTTTTTTTTTTTTTTTATTTGAGACAGGGTCTCCTTGTAGCCCAGCTGTCCTGGAACTCACTCACTATGTAGACCAGGCTGGCCTTGATCTTACAGAGATTTGCCTGCCTCTGCCTCCCGAGTGCTGGGATTAAAGGCGTGTGCCACCAAGCCCGGTTATAATTGTTCTTTTGAGGTCCATGTCCTGCGCTACCTCTAGGGGGTTCTCATTGTACTCCTCTACAGGACTAATGGTGCTTAGTGGGGATATATTATTTTGATTTTTCATGTTACTTTTTTCTCTGTGACTTTGACATATGGAATTCTGTGGATTCTTTTTGTAGTTTCTGATGCTTCTGTGAGACTCAAGCCTTCCTTTGTTGAGTTCTTTCTGCTTATTTTTGTAAACTTTATGTGCCTTTGTGGTTTACTTGTTGGGCATGAATAGCTGGTTGGTCTAGGCTTCCAATTTTCTCTTTTGAATTTTCAAGTATCCAAATTGCTTTCCTCTTCAGGAGTTCCCACAGAGGCCCAAGTCAGATGAGGATCAGATGTTCTCAGGCTTTTTCCTGAGGTCTGGATCCCTCCAGGAAAGATGTTATCCTCAGGAATTTGGGGGCTGGACTGGCCTGAGAGCAGCACCCAGGAAATTGCTGGTCTTGGGCAGCTGGTGGTCATGCCACCCAGGGAAGCAGAGGGAGGTGAGGGCGGGACCAGGCCCAGAGGGCTCCTGGGGACTGTGAGAAGGAACTGGGTTGGTCTGGATGCAAAGGATCAGGAAGGAGTGGTGTTTCGGGCTGGCAGGTTCTGCAGCCCAGGGAAGCAGAGGGAGGTCATTATTTTAATTTTTTGAGACACAATTTCCCTATAGCCCCAGCTGCCTGGAATTTGCTAAGTAGTCCAGGCTGGCCTTGATCTCACAGAGATACACCTGCCTCTTCCTCCACCCCTCCAGTACTGGGATTAAAGATGTGTACCACCACACCTGGCTAGGAAATAATATTTTTAATTATGCAGATAGACAGCACAAATCTGTTATCCTTACCTACTTGGGAACAGGAAGATCACAAATTCAAGGCTCTCCTGGGCTACTTAATGAGACCCTGTCTCAAAATAGACTGGGAGTTTAGCTAAGTGAAAAAGTGCTTGCCTAGCATGAATTGGGCCCTGGGTTCAATCCCCAGTACTACAGGGGGAAAAAATTATGTACCCACAACACAGCACAGTGTCTTAGTTATATTATAAAGTTAATCCATCTAAAGTTTGCATTTAGTAAAATTCATAATATTTTGGATTTGGGGTTTTTTGATTTGGGGTTTTTTGTTTTTGTTTTGTTGTCGTTGAGACAGGGTCTTACTATGTAGCCCTGACTGGCCTCAAACTCACCATGTAGAGCAGGCTGGTCTCATATTCACAGGGACCTGCCTGCCTCTGCTTCTCAGGTGGTGGGATTAAAGGTGTACACCACCCCACCCTGCTCATAAAGAATATTTTTGAATATCCACATTGAATATTAAATTGTTTTGAATCCCTGAAGAAGATAGATCCATAAATGTAATCACAATTTTAAAAATTACTGGGCTGGGTAGATGACTCTGTGATTAAGAGTGCTTGCTAAGCAAGGATGAGGACCTGTGTTCAGATCTCCAGCATCCAGGTAAAAGGTGAGCATGGCTACATGATGTCTTCGTGCCTGTAACCCCAGTACTGAGACTGACAGTTTTTGAGCTGGAGACTGGAAATGCAAAGAGATGATCCCTCTAAGATTTCACTTAGGTTCTGGGAAAATATATGAAACAGATAAATTTCCTTTAATGGAGCAAGTAATAAAAAAAGAGAGTAGGATCACTTAGCCTGGGAAACCTTCCTGGAGAAGAAGACCTTAAGAAGAATCCTAAAGAATAAGCACAGCCCAGAGAGATATGAGCATTTGAAAGTGAGGGATGGATGGGAAACAGTAAATGCATGGAACATTATGTAAGCCGGGAGGCAAGGAACAGAGAGAGTGCCTTCCTGTGTTCCCTTAGAAGAAATTACTAGAACATAAATGCCAAGGAAGAGAGTCAAGACAGAAGGCAATCACAATAAGTATAGAAAGACAAAACAAATGCAGAACTTTAAAAATACAGCAGTATTTTTTCTAGTAGTATTGACTAGGAAAAAAAAAGCCATCCTCTTTATTAACAAAGACTTTCTAGGGGATGCCAGGCCTGGTGATGCACGCCTTTAATCCCAGCACTCAGGAGGCAGAGGCAGGTGGATCTCTGTGAGATTGAGGCTAGCCTGGTCTGTATAGTTCCAGGTAGGCTGAGGCGATACTACAGGAGATCCTGTCAAAAAAAAAATTTCAATTTCTAGGGGGGCTTAACATGAAGAAAGAAGGAAAATTATAACATGGTATGTGCCTTCTCTTACAAAATTTTTCCTTTGATACAAGATCTTATATAAACCAGATGGCCTCAAAGTCTGTCCTCCTGCCTCTACCTCCTCAGTACTAGGTAACAGGTATATTAAAATTTCCTTAAGTTCAAGGCACTACTTTACTTTCTGTACCAAGAATTAGTAGGAAACAAGATAAACTAGGCTTCTACCTGGAGAGATGGTTCAGTGATTAAGAATGCATACTGCTCTTCCAGAGGACCTGAGTTCAGATCCCAACACTCACCTCAGGTGGCTCACAACCATCTATAACTCCAGTTCCAAGGGACCCAACACCATCTTCCGGACTCTGAGGGCACCTGCACTCACATACATATCCACACACATACACACAATTTAAAAGTAATAAAATAAATCTTCAAAAAAATAGATCTTTCTGTGGGGTAAAATTAGCAAAAGTGATTAAATATATATAAGATGACATATAGAGAGAGTATGTACGCGTATATAAAAAATGAAGGGTAAAACAAGTGAGGTCATAAAAGCTAAAGACAAATGTCAGGGGCTGAAGAGATGGCTCAGTGGTTAAGAACACTGGTTGTTCTTGCAGAAGACCCGGGTTTGAATCGCAGCACATGGCAGTTAACAACCGTCCATAACTCTAGCCCGAGGGGATCCAACAACCTCTTCTGACCTCCACGGGCATTGCACAACACGGGTACACTTACCTACATGCAGGTAATACACACATACACATTAAAAAAAATCTTTTTTTAAAGAAAGGAATGTCAGATAAAGTGGGGCTCTCGGGGGGGTGGGAGGTTAACAGAATTCAAGATTAAAGGAATTAGCTATTCTAAGACTTAGGAAAGAACATTCTGGGTAAGGAGAACAGTAAACATAGGAGCTCAAAAAGGGAAATTCTTTGGTGTCTGTGATAAGGAGAAAGAAGCCTAGCATGGCTCATCATGCTGTGGTCCAGGGAGACAGTGGTACAAAATTGGCTCAGGGAGATGGTCAAAGTTTAGATGATGCTGAGCCTCACAGACTGTTGTAAAAAACTGAGGTTTCATTTTACATAGCAAGCAGTATTTTAAGCAAGGAAGAAAGCACATTTTCAGGAAGGAGTCTTACCCTATTTTATCTCCCCGGGATTACTGGTAGCTGACCACTAACCCCAAACTGGATTGTAGGGAAGATACAGGGAGACAATGGCTTGTTTGTTCACATGCCTTCGTTTGTTGCATCATCAAGGAACCTGAGGTTTTAGCAATAATATCAGGTTTGGGTGGCCCCTTTTTTTTCCCTTTCCCTTGTAACATATCACAAACTCTACTTTGTTCCTATAGAATGCCGTGTGCACAGGGTGGCAGCCAAATCAACAAATACCTACATGGGCTTGACAAAACGTGTCCTGATCTTGTATAACTAAGGGTCTCACAATAAAGATGATAAAGAATTAGGGTTTTTTTCTGCATTCCCTTTTATATTATAGGTAAGTGATCTCTGTTTAACTTGTGTAATTTCTCATCTTTTACCTTTGGTGGGAAGATGTTATTTTCATGGAAATGTTATTTCACTAAGACAAGATTAGTACAAATTTTCCACACTCAACTCATTTCTGTGGTGATGATACTGTGAAAAGCCATGCCTAACTTAATTCTACTTTGTCAGAATTTATTGATGCCAGTCCCAGAAACAGATCACTCATTTTTAGATATGTAAAGCTTTCGTTATAAAGAAAAGTTTATTGGTGTAGCTGTCTAAAACATGTCCAGACGCCTTTATATGAGATCGTTTAATTTATGCTGTATGTAAGAGACGCCTTTATATGAGATCGTTTATTTTATGCTGTACATAAGCTAATCAATGAGGAAAAAATGGTAAGTAAACCAACATGTTAATTTTTGTTTTTTTTGTTTTTGTTTTTGTTTTTTCTTTTTTCAACAGGGCCTCCCTGTAACTCCAGCTGGCCTGGAACTCACTATGTAGACCAGGCTGGCCTGGAGCTCACAGAGGCCTGCCTCTGCCTCCCAAGTGCTGGGATTAAAGGCATGCACCACCATGCCCAGCACAATTTACATAATTTTAAATGAAATAAAAAGGGGAGAACATTGCTGTTTTATTTCTTTGGCATACTTTACAAGGATTGTAAAAGCCCAACCCTTTGAGCTCTTCTTTAACCATGTAGCATTTTGCATTCTGTTTGTAAGCTCAAGTCCCTTTTTTTTTCCCCCATCAAATTGTGTAAAACTAGTGAAATCTGCAAAATCAACTTTTTATCTTATGTGCATATAATTCCTAGATATTGGGGGGGGGGGGATCACAGTTCAAGAGAAATGAGGGAAGGAAGAAGTTGGTTCATGGAGTATCCGTCCTACTAAAATAGTAAATATAAGTTCTGTATCTTGTTTAGAGAGTATCAAACTGCTCTCTAAACTTGAATCTCTCTGCCTATAGATTAGTGCAGCTCTTAGACCTCATCAGAGAAGTTTCTTTGTACAGTGGACAGTGGTTAACATAGAAACTCAAAACCGGTTAAAGTACAGAGAATAAGTGACTATGGAGGGCTCAGCCACATATGGGACATCTATATCATATCCCTCCCCAAGTCTCAGGGATCATTGCAGAAAGAGGGGCAGAAAGATTAAGAGCCAGAGATTAAGGAGAACCAGAGCAAAACATTGTCTTCTAGACATGACAGGATTGATGCATTCATGAATTCCCAGCAGCTGTGGTTGCCTGCACAAGATCAAGCCAGTCAACATTCTATCTTGAATTTGAAAGAATTCATGAGCCCCCATCCCTAACTGAAGAGCTATAGAGAATTGATTGCTTTTAGGTGAGGGAGAGTCAGTTATTTTTAAGGGCGTGACTTCTAGTAAGTAAACCACACTCCAGTAGATGGTTCGCTACCCAGAAGTATGTGGACAGCACAAATTGGAATCACTGGATTATTAAATAAATAAATATAAAAAAGACAGCTGTTCACTAAGATTGGCTAAGTGGTCTTTATAAGGATGGAATTCACATATGATTAAATATTTGCCATTGAACTCCATGCTTGTTTTGTTTTACAGGCCCCACAGTATAGACACATGAGTAAAAGACGAAAATTTCTTCTTGCCTCCGTACTTGCTCTCCAGAATTCAAGCTTTATATATCCATCGTGTCAGAAGTGCTTTTCTCGGGTCGTCTTTGTCTCTGAAAGGTAAAAGCTATAAGCATGAGAGGGGAAATAAATGCCAGTAGACACTTCCTGTGACTCAGGGCAAGAATGCACTAAATTCATCATACCAGAACATCAGATTCTCTGAGGGATTCATGGAGGTGGTTCTTTCCTAAACCTCAGAATAGAATTGGCTGTTAGTCCAATTTCTAGAGGGAAGTTTTAAGTTACTGCCAATTCTGCCAAATATCTATTCCAAGAAGAAAAATAATTTCTCTGAGCAATGCCCAATCCTGGTGCAAAATCTTAGCACACTTCTGATATCCTTGGCCATTTAGTAAGAGTGTTCATTTTTTGTATGCTGTGATGGCCCCAGATTAAGAAGTAAACTTAGAAGCTGACACTATATTATAAATGCTGACTATCTAAAATGCTTGGAACCAAAAGTTTCAAATTTCAGAAGGTTTGGGATTTGGGAATATTTATGTCAACTTTGTTGGTTGAATATCCTGTCCTTAATCTTAAACTGAAATATATTTGTTGTCTGTTTGTTTGTGACTGGGTCTCCCTGTGCAACCTAAGCTGACCTGGAGCTCATAGTTCTCCTGTACTACCCCTGGTTTCAAACTCCACAACTATTTGTTTGTTTGTTTGTTTATTTATTTATTTATTTAGAGACAGGGTCTCCTTGTAGCCTCAAGGTGGCTCCAGACTTGCTATGTAGACTAGGTTGGCCTAGAACTCAGAGAGATCCGCCTGCCTCTGCCTCCTAAGTACTGGATTTAAAGGTGTGCTCCATCATGCTCAGTCACACCAGTGCTCATAAAGTTTTTGGAGCACTTTGGCTTTCAGAATTTCAGGTCAGGGATGCTCAAATTCTAGCAACATCTGTCATTCATCAGCTACAATAGTGTTTGGTACATAACTATCATAGTGTTCAGATGCAGGCCTAGTATAGTTGAAACTAAGCTCTGCCACCCATCTTTGTGAGTAAAAGTGAAAAGTTAGGTTTGTAGTTCTTTGACATTTCTCTGTCAGAATATAAGATAAAGGTATTTAGTAGCTGCCTAGTAAATAAAAGTAGAGGGCTGGCTATGTTCTTCTAGTCTTTCTGTCAAGTTAGAATTAAATGAGGAATGAAGAGGGCTTAACAGCTCTATTTCACATTTGGACTCTGGGTCATCCTTGCAGTAGTTACCATTGTTTCTGTGTTAAACCTGCCCAAGTTCTCATTTATAAATAGAGAAAAACCTTGTTTGCATTATTCATCATAAAATCCTTGGCATTATGTTCAACAAAATTTTATTAAAGAAATTTAAAAAACGCCAGTCTTGGGTCACCCATTTTCAGGTTCTTGCCTGTTAAAATAACCTATTTGGAACAATGAGCTATTTATCTTAGAAGCACTATGGAATGTTAAAGTTCCCTGCATAAGAGGACACTATAGGATCACAGATAGGAACTAACACCTACTGATTGTATGATTTGGGGCACAATATCTAATTACTTATTTGTAAAAAGGAAAAATACCCACACTGTGAAATAATTATAAAGAATAATGCACAGCAATCTAGTATAATATATGACATCTACTCAGATTTCCAAAATGCCAACCATTTTTACAGAAACTTTCTTATAAGTATACTTTACCTATTACAGTATAGCATAGATTAACAGCATTATTCTCTAGAGCCAGAATGCCTGGGTTTATTTATGAGGCAATGGAGGTTTGAGACAAGGTCTTACTTTATGACTCAGGTTGGCCTGAAACTCACTGTACAGCACAGGCTGACCTTAGACTTGTGGCAGTCCACCTGTCTCAGCATCCCAAGTACTGGAATTACAGGTATTCATACTGTCCCCAACCTTCTCACTTAGAGCTCTGTAACCCTGTACTACTCACTTAAATTGTCTGGTCCTGAAAATTAGAAAGTCACACCTACCTCTTAGGATTTTTATAAGAATCAAGTAAGTTAATATATATAACACACTTTGAACATTTATGTGATTTATCATCAGTTCAGTAATATAAAATACTTTTTAAATTTTGTGGCCTTTTGCAAGTAATGATCCTCCTGCCTCTGCCTCCCAAGTGCTGAAATTGCAAATGTATGTCACCATACTTAGCAGACAGGTATTAGCTTAAAGTCAATCTTCAATGAAAAACTGGGTTAAATTCAGAGCGTGGTGGCACACACCTTTAATCCCAGCACTCAGGAGGCAGAGGCAGGCAAATCTCTGTGAGCTCAAGGCAGCCCCACTATAGGGAGACTCTGTCTCAAAAAGACAAAAAAAAATTTTTTAATTGGATTAAACAATAATACCACTGTTAGCTCTTTAGACTCATGACATCGATGTATAACATTTATGAATGTTTATTCTGTGCTATGCACAATGCTGGGAACTTTGTAGCCATTTTATCCTTTAATGCAACAGATAGGTGAAGTGGTTGCTATTGCTAGTGCCAAATTATAGACAACTAAGACTTAGAAAAGTTAAGTAACTTGCCCAAGTTCTACCCAGCTAGTTAGGGACAGAAATGTTGAAAGCTAAACAATATGACTGCTATCTACATTCATAATTGCCCTATTACTGCTGAACTAACAGTGGAATTTGTATTGAAATTCCCACTTAAAATGTTCTAGGAAAAGAGCTCTGACTGGATCATTTAGAAGCATAAAACCCTCTGGTACTTGGTCCTTACCTGTGGAAACACAACCTACTGAAAACTAACCTTTCCTCTATTCATGTACATTAACAACACCACAAAAATCTGATGCTTACTTTTTTTTTTGGTCTTTTTGAGACAGGGTCTCCTTGTAGCGTCTATGTAGACCAGGCTGGCCTCCATCTCAACTGTGATCCACCTGCCTCAGCCTCCCAATATGCTTTCCTTTTCTACTTTCACTTCTCCTTTTCCTTTTTCCTACTTGGAATCAGTCAACATATAAAACAAGAATCCCTCTCTTTTGTTACCCCACTTCTATATTCAGCAAGTTTATGATAGGAGTTCCCCCACTATACCCTTTGAAGATCTTATTTGAACCCCAGATCCTGAGCAAAAGCAGCCATAGTAGGTGTTTTGTGTTTTATGGAGATAGCTTTTTTTTTACCTCAGAGATTAGGCAGTAGAGGTATTAAAACTATTCCTGGGGTCTGGGAAAGTGACTCAGTCAATGAAGTGCTTGCCATGCAAGCATGAGGATGTGAGTTCAGAGCCACAGTACCCTTTTTTTTTTTTCCTTTGGTCTTTTTGAGACAGGGTTTCCCTGTAGCGCCTGGAACTCACGATGTAGACCAGGCTGACCTTGAACTCACAGAGATCCACCTGCCTCTGCCTCCCAAGTGCTGGGATTAAAGGCGTGTGTCACTACTCCCGGCCCATTTTTTTTTTTTTTAAAGTTGGGTGCATGCCTGTAATGCCAGTGCTGGGGAAGCAGAGATGAGGATGCTTGGAGCATGCTGGTCAGCTGGCATTCCTGAATCAGTGAGCTCCAGGTTCAGTGGAAGACTCTCTAAAATAAATAAATAAATAAATAATAAGGATGTGGAGAGCAGGACAGGAAGACACCCAATGTCAACCTCTAGTGCTCACACACACACACACCTACATATTTATGCAAATACAAACTATAATCTACAGTGTCTTGAGATTTCATGGAGGCACTTCTGGAGAGAGATTAGCATGGTGCTCATAGATAGTAGAATAGTAGGTCAAAGTCTAAAGACCTCATCTTGGTTTTGTTAGGGTTCAAGAATTGAGAATAATTCCCACGGATACCCAAAAAGATTATACAAAAGTTTAAGAATTTAAAGAGAAAAAAGACAATAACCAAATGGCGGCTAGCCGGGCACAGACTTCATGAGCCAAATATGGAGTCTGGCCCCGAACAATAGCAGGCAGGAGCTTTTATTGGAGCACTCCATAGAAACCCACCTGTGCCAAGCATTTTTTAAAATAATTGGATGTCCCCATATCCCGTGTACGGGGAAAGTCTTAAGTGGATGTCCCCATATCTTGTGTACGGGGAAAGTCTTGATTGGTAGGGGCTCTCTTCAGCACATTAGAATGTGCTGACTAATATCTTTTAGAGTCAGAAGTTTTTGTTCATACCTTATAAGGCTTTTACATGTACAATATGCCTGAGCTTGTCTGGGCTTGTCTAAAGAAGCTAGCCAAAATGGAGTCAGAGCATTCTGGCTCTTCAGTTGGGAAAGGGCTCCATGATACAAAAAAGACTTTGATATAGACATAAAAATATCAAAACTGAGCTAGGCATGGTGGCACACCCCTTTAATCCCAGCACTGGGGAGGCAGAGGCAGGAAGATCTCTGTGAGTTCAAGGCCAGTTTGGTCTACATAGTGAGTTCCAGGCCAGTTGGAGCTACAGGGAGACCCTGTCTCAAAAAGACTTACCCCACCACCACCAAATCAAAACTACAGGGATAAAGAGTTTGAGCTATAGGTATAGTTGGTAGCGCTTACCTAACACACACCTCAGCACTGCAAAAAAAAAGTACATTAAAAACAAGTGTGCACTCACTTGTACATAGTTATCCATACTGTGTGCTATATATATGCAGCTCAAACATGAAAACCATCTATCTTCTGGGTCATTTAATAGGACCCATAGTCTCTTTAGTCTGAAGATGTCTCAGTACTCATAAATTTCTTTGCCTATCTCAAAATGGGAATTTTAGCTCAGTGTTTGTCTCCTTATCCTCTCTCCATCTCTATCCACCCAAGTTTGTGTCATTTACTTTAGCAAGTCAAGTTCAGTCTCAGGTACTAGATTATAGCTTTCTTTGGAGGAGTAGTTTGTGGAAGCCTTAGTGTTACAGGGGTTTAATTTGTTTGCTCTTAATTTTTTAGGTTAGCATACAAAATTTGTGTTTGATTATACCATTTTGAAATGCATGTGTCATACCTGGTTCTCATTTGTCCCCCTCTCATGTTTTCTGCTCCAAAACTGTTTTACTTCCTTACCCCACAGAGCTCCTCCTACTGCTTTCTTAGCACTTAAATTTCATTACCTTCTCGATTTCTTTCCTTCCTTCTCATAATCCTTTAGTTTCATGAGCTACATATCCACACAAGAAACGTACTCATATTTAACAAAAATGTGTAGTGTTTTTGGTGAAACAGGGTCTCATTATGTAGCCTGGTCTGGCCAGTTATTCCTGCTTCAGCCTCGTGAGGGTTGGCTGGGGTTACAGGCATGCATCACAATGTGTGGGCCCTCAGAAATATTTTTTTAAGGGACTGGAAAGATGACTCAGCAGTTAATAGCACTGGCTGCTCTTGCAGAGGTCCTGGGTTCCCAGCACCCACATGGCAACTAACAGCTGTCCATAACTCCAGTTCCAGGGGATCTAACACCCTCTTCTAGCCTCCACATGGGTGTGTGTGTACACACACACACACACACACACAGAGAGAGAGACAGAGACACAGACACACAGTAAAACACTCATACACATAAAATAATAAAAATATATTAGTTAAATTTTAAAAATATTTCTCATCCCTTTACATGCATTTAATTTCATCTGGGTCTCTAAAGTTGAAAGGGACATAATCCGTCAGCTAGCCTAAGCTGTAATCCACAAGCAAGTTATAAGTATGTATGTATCATCTAGTCTCCAGAAGATTTAAATACTGTTTAATAAATGTGTTCTTTTTTCTGGGGAGACATTAAGTCCATTGCTTGCATCAGATTTTCAGAGGGTTTCAAGACAATGAACACATTAAGGATCACTGATGTATCTCATCAGTTCTACTTCTGGGCCAAATATACTTCAATACTAGAAAAAGGAGTGAAAGTTGGTATCTTAAACTAGACTCAAGCAAAGGATAGCTACTATTTCAGATCCATCCAGTCAGAGGTTCCCTGTGCTCTAACCTACTTTCATACTGTGATAGAACAGATTGATCAGAGAAGCAGATATGTGAACTCACTGTCTTTATATTAAGCCAAACATTAGAGATATTTGCAAAATGCAAAACAATGCCACCCCCAAATTAAAAAAAAAAAACCTTTAAGGACACATGATTTTTTTTGTAAGAATTTTTTGTAAGGAGTCTATTTGGGTTTTTTTTGGTGTTTTATTATTATTATTATTACTATTTTATGTGTATGTAGATGGGTGCACCCATGTTGTGCAGTACCTGCAGGGGTCAGAAGAGTTACAGACAGTTGTTAACTGCTATGTGGGTGCTGAAAATAATACCCAGGTCCTCTGTAAGTCCAGCCAGTGCTCTTAACCTCTGAGCCATCTCTCCAGCCCAAGGAGTCTATTTTTAATGAAGTGGTATCTTTCAGATTTTTCAATTTGTGTAGCTTCTACTTAATTTCTCATCTCAATTAGAAATACAGGTAGAGGTGGAGGTAGATTTCAAGATTTCGAGCCAGCCTCAGCTACATAAGAAGTTAGTTACAAGAAGTTTAAGAAGAATTTTAATTTACTAGTAACATTTATATAAGAACTGTCATCTTAAATTTTCATGTTTCTTGGTTTGTTTTCATCATATTAAAAAAATACTTTTTACCCTACTTTTCTAGGTCTACTTGTCCTAAATGTGGCTCTACTGGTGAAGCTGAAAAGGCCAGTTACAGATACAGACTTTCCTTAAAAGTTGCAGAATCAAGTAAATTACTTATCATTACTGTATTTGGAAGCTGCTTAGATATATTTTTTGGGCTTACTGCCACTGATTTGCACAGGTAAGAATCTTTAAAGCATTCTTTTACCTAATTGTTCTCTAATATGCCAATGGAATTTGAAGATATGTGTCTTTAAGATATTAGGAATCTACTAAAAAGAAACCCTTTATCTCAGACCATCAGTTTCCTTAAAAGATAACTAACTGGAAGATAAAATTTGTCCTAGGAATACATGCTAGTAATTAAAGTATGCGTTGCTCTCAACATCTTCTGTAGTCATTTTACAGAAGAAATCCATGTCATTGTAATTTTAGGCATTGTACGCATTTGAAGGAAAATAACACTAGAGGAGCCACAGCCAGAATCGCCAGGACAGAGGAAAGACCCTGTTACTACTGCTTCTTTCCCTTGGTATAGCTGCAGGCTCTGAGGATTAGACAAGCATCTGCTTTATTTTTGTTTTTGTTTTCTGATGGTGCTACAGATTTAAATTTGGAGAGACTTTATACCTGCTGGGCAAGTCCTCTACCACTAAGCTACGGTTCCCTAGCCCTTGCAGTCATCTGTTTTATTCACATTCGATAAAGTGGTTTTCTGTGGGGATCTAAATTTCATTATCTTGGTATGCTATGTGAACCTAATAGGAACAACATACCAAGTTCATACTTCTTTTCTCTATATGTAACTAATAAGGTTCTTCCCGTGTGTGTGTGTGTGTGTATTTTTGCGGGGGGGGGGGGGTCTTTTTGAGACAGGGTCTCCCTTTAGCCCCAGCTGTCCTGAAACTCACTAGGTAGACCAGGCTGGCCTCGAATGCACAGAGATCTGCCTGCCTCTGCCTCCAGAGTGCTGGGATTAAAAGCGTGTTCCACCACGCCCAGCTTCTTCCCATATTTTTTAAATAATTGTGTCTTCTGATTTTACTTCAAGGTAAAAATTTAAAGTTCATCTTTTTTTTCTCTCTCTCTCTTTCAAAGGTACCTTCAGGATTCTACTAAAATTCCAGAAACCCTGGACAGTGGTACAACTCAGAGCCTATTGACTGAGGCAGTTGAAAATTGTTTTGTTGGACAAAGCTTTGTTTTTGGTGTGACGGTAATGGAGAACAGCTTTCTTTTGAATATCCACTTAAGATTTCCATTATTGTGAAATGATTGTAGTTTTCTAAGTTGTTTTTAGGAGTTACATAAATGTGAGGGCACTTGAAACTTTAGAAATAGTCAATATGGGATATAGCAGAACATCATAGCTTATAGCTCCCTATTTCAAAAGAACTGCCTAATTCTTATGGTCTCAGAGCATTAAAAGAAGAAATGTATTATAAATTCCAAAAAGTGTTAGGTGTTTGGTTTTGAAAGATTGCTTTTCTTTTACTACAAGTTTTGTGCAAATGATGGTAGTAGAGGGAGTTTGAACATGTACTGACTCTGAAGGGGTAGTAGTTAGGTGTTTCATATACCCTAAAGAAACTACATGGGAAGGTTTATTACACTGAAAACAGTGTTAGTAAAGAGAATAGAGCACTAGTAAATGAGCAGTAAAGACACTTCAAAGACAGGGAGATGCCAAGAGCTAAAGAATTTTACTTTGCTAAAATATTACATGATTTAGTTTTCGCTTTTCTGTTCTTTTATAAATATAATGGTAGCACCATTTATTGAACAACTGCCGTTTGATAAATATTTTCTAATTTTGTTATTGCTAAACAATAATTTTTATTTCATGAAGCCTTGAGAAAAATAAAGCCTTGAAAAGTTAAATAACTACCCAAGAACCAACACTACTAGTAGTTACTGAAACAAGGATTTGAGGACAGATCTCTACTCTCGGGTTCATGCTCTTTAATATATTCTATTCGTTGAGTAATACTAAAGGCTCTGAGATCAAGAGTTATAGCTGTATCTCCTGTAACTTTTTAAATTCTCATTTTCTCTTTGAGTCAAGAGAAAATTATTTTGTTCTGATTTAAATTCATTTACTTCTTTCATAGAATTTTGGAAATATATGTGGACATGATTCAGATTCCAATAACTTCCTGCAGCAGTGCTGTGGGCACAGAGGAGAAGTCAGAGCACTTGTAGCTTCCCAGATTATCCTGCCTGACCCACGTATTGCAGGCTTCACTGTCATTGACTACTTTCATCAGCTTCTGCACACTGCCATTGTCAGGAAACATCACTGTAGCTCACAAGAGCTTAGCGGCCACTCACTCACTTTAGACTTCTCAAACAATGATCTTAGCAGCATACATGGCTCTGGAAACAGTTCCTATTTTCTGGAGTCTCATGGCAGAGATAAATTTTTAAGATTCTGGCAGCCATCACTTGAACTGACTTCCACTGATTCACAGCTAGGAGACAATAATGAATTTTCAGCTTCAGAACAAAGCATGGCCAGTGATACTCCTCACCAAAACAGACAGTGCATCTCTTTTGCAGAGGGTACTGGTCCTAAGAGCTGCCATGATCCCATTCAGGGTTCATGGAGCCTTGTTTCACATATGGACAAAGAGAATACAGCAGAAAAGTTGGATGAAGAATTTGTCTTACAGGCTAATCATCTTAGTGTAGTTTGCAGTAGTCATCATGAAACTAGACTTTCTAACTCTAGTTTACTCCCTTTGCAAATGCAAGAACCCTTTGAGGAAGACAATACAGAATCCTGCAGTACAGCAGAAATTAAAAATAGCTATTCCCAGTGTGAGCTCCCATGTTACCAGCATCATGATGTAGATACCACCACCATCCTTCAAGAGAGAGCTACATGTTCACCTTTGTCACGCAGACCTGAAGAGACAGCTAGAGTTTCCCAGGACTGTGATTCCTTGATTTGGGATGATCTGCCACTCTCTGAAAGCCTGAATAAGTTTCTGGCAGTTGTTGAAAGTGAGATTTCTATAACTAAGACAGATGTCAAGAATAGGAAACATTGTAATGACATTGATAAATTCCATACAGACCACAGCAGGTTGTCTGTGACTCCCTGGAGAATTACGGGAACCTTGACAACACCACCGATGGCCTTAAAATCATCACAAGCAATGATCAAAGAAAACTCTAGCAAAGAGAATTTCTTTTTCAACTGTGAGTCAAATACAAGTTTTTGGATTCAAAAAGAGTCTAAACCAGACAACAAAGTAGAGACTGTGTCTACCCGCAGTAGTAAAAGTGGTATCTCAGAATATTTTTTACCAAACACTTACCTGTCAACTCTGTTTATATCTTCAGAAGATATGGAAACATCATTTAAGAAGACTATGAACATCGTACCACATAAGAATGAAATTTCATTCAGGGCCAGTAGCTCAGCAAGTGACTATTCTTACCTCAGTAACAAATATTTGCATGGACATAGAGGAAAATCACTTTCACAAATGAAAGAAAAGTCGACAACTTTGCCTTCCAAGAAGTACAATGATGTTTCAGATCTTTGGAAATTAGAAAATAAGCCAAAGACCCAAGATGACAGTTTCACAATTTGCAGAAAACTTACATATCCTTTAGAAACTCTTTGCAGTAGTCCAAGGAGAAGTACAAATACATTGAAAGATATAACTTACAGATGTAGCAATAATAATTTAACACAAAATTATTCTGCTGGTCATGAAGGTAGCTTCGATGTTTCTGCTGATCTTTTTGATGATATTGATAAAGATGAAGACATTGGAACAGAAATTACCAAAAAATCCCAGGATATTTTGTTACCATGGGAATCATCTTGGGCAGAAAAGCATCCTATAACTGAAAACTGTAGCCAACCTTCACAGAAATTACTCTTGCAAAGCACATCAACTTCAGAGTATCCAAGAATAAGTTCTCAGCCAGATTCAGAATGTGACCTTGAAGAAAGCCAAGGCTTTGTTCCATGTTCACAGTCAACTCCAATCGCAGGCTTCCACCGAAGAACAACTCAGGAGCTAAGTGGAGCTTTGAAAAAACTGCCTTCTTTTTCTTCAAATCTTGATGCTAACTATAAAAAACCAAAACTTTCTCCTGAAAGTAGCAAACAAGTTACCCCAACCTGCACAAATGTAAAAACACCCAGCCAGAAATCCAGAATTCCTTTTATACCTAGTATTACACAACCAGAGATTTCCAACCACTGTCCAGCTGCTGAGTGTCTTGAAAGTGATATGAATGAATGGGTCCCTCCTACCACCCAAAAAGTTTTTTTTTCAGATATGCTTGGATTCAGAGTCATGTGTTTAAGTGTTCATCATTCTCCTGACCAAAAAGAGTTACCAAGAAAGAGACTGATACAAGTCAGACATAAAGCTGACACGCTTAAGTAATTAAGGGTTGTGTTTACAGCCACAGCAAAAACAAAAAATTCCTAAAACGTAAGTGTAAACAATTAGGCTGAAGATAGAAAGGGCCGTTTTTGGACTTGACTCTTTCAGAAGTCTAATGTTGCCTTCTGTTTTCAGAATACTGCCACCCTCAGTATCAGAAACTAAAAGTGTTTGTTTGTAAATTAAGTCATATGAACCAATTCCTGAAAATTTAAATAAAGGTAAATCTATTTGGAAATTTTTGTCTCCAGTGACACAGAAAACTTATATTTTCAACACTTCCAGAAAAATAATAACTACAGAAAGGATTGTATTGGGTATTCTTGGATCTTTTAAAATGTAAAACCACTGTTTTCCCCAAGGTTTTCTCCAGAATACAATGAGTTGGATAACTAGCATTTTATCTTATGTTGACTATAGTAATATGTTAATTTGTGTTCTTACAAGTATTTGTAAAATCACATGTCTGTCCAGAAATAAAGCCTTTATAAACCAAAACATCTTTCTTAATTGTTCAGCTAAGATAAAAACATAACTGCTATGTAGTATGCCTACTGTGAGGTTATAAGACAAAACTTAAAAGGTCACTAATCTCAAAACATTTTAGTACATTAGATAAAAAAGACAATTTCAGTACAGGAAGTGCAGTAGCAAGGTGTATTTATTTTACATAAAGATAGATCTTAACTGAATATTTAATACAACAGGAAATAGAGTATCTTCAACATTTTTCACAGTGAATTTTTTTATCTTAAAATTGTTAATGGTGAGAATACTGCTTTGCATTAGTAGTACAAATGACAAGTATTTTTAGGACCACTAAAGAGATAGGTAGAAATTCTTTCCTAATCCCAGGGTACAATCATTTATGAAACTTGGGGGGGCTAGAGAGATACCTCAGCAGTTAAGAGCACCTAGTGAGAAATCTTGAGGATTGCAGTTCAAATCCCAGTACCTACATAACAAGCCAAGGAGTCTGCAAACACCTGTAATCCCAGCTCCAAGAAGTCCAACACCCTCTTCTGGCCTTTGCTGACCACAGATCTGTGTACCTGCATACACAGATGCATATACAAACAACACACACATCATTAGAAAATAGAAAATTAAATCAGCAATTTAAACCAATTTTTTCACAGTAATTTTCCAGCTCATTCTCAATACAAAGATCTAATAATTTGATATTTGCATTGAACAATGACAGTAGGGGAAAAAGCCTTTGTTTTATGTAACTAAATCCTATTTCTGTAAGAACAGAATTGTTTATGTGCACTAAAAACACTGCAGTTCATTTAGCATAAAATAGCCTGTTTTAATTAACATTTGTTTTCCTTGTGTCTTGATAGCATGCAGAGTGCATGTTATATGTTCAAAACCAAGGCTGCAGTGAAGTCACACAATGAAACATGGCCAAGTCCTGCCAAAAACATCTTGGATTCATTATACTTTTTATTTTGAATTAATTTCTGGTCGTTGTGAGTTCAGAAACCATTCACTATTGCCAAGTTTGTTGTAACTCTTAACATTCATGTACACAACCCCATATGGAATTGCAGTCCACAGTTTAAGAAGCTGGGTCTACATGCACCAGTGGATAGTCCCACACCCAGGTGTTTATGGGCAACACAAATTGGAGTTGGTAAGTTGTTTGAAGGGGGGCGCGGAGTAGGAAGGTGGGGATGGATCTGGAAGGAGGGGAGGCTGTGTGAATATGCTCAAAATCCATTGTATGAAATTCTCAAAAGCGTTTTTAGAAAAAAGACATAGCTAGGTCTAGTATATGATCAGATCATCAGAACCTGGTATTTTCTGTGACAGAACAGCTTGGAGTATTAAGAGCCAAAATGAAGAGCTGTTTCCAGGTGCTGGGTCTGCACCTCCGCTGCACCTGTGAAGTCTCTCACAAATCTCTGCTCACCTTTCTTTGTGGTTCCCTGCCACAGCGGTTCCATATCTCCAGTCCGTGTGCCACGGCACATAGCTGCTCATTTCATGGGGAGTATTGAGATCACCCTCTGCTTCCCACACCCACATCCTTTCAAGTGGCTTGCTACCCACAGCGTCTTTCCCCCATCTTAGAAAATCATGCACACCATCATGCTAACCTTTCTCTTTAGGCTTCTGATCCATGAACCCATCTACTTTGGGTCTTGTACCAAATTGTCCCTCCTGTATTTTTACCTTCTTTTACTAGCTATCTCCCTTTCCCCTTTCTATATGGTCACAATGTAATCTTTATACTACAAAATAATAGTTCTCCAGTATTGTCTAATGTCGCATATTCAGATTTTCCTACATGTATTTGAATTATTATGTAATGAGGATTTCATAAAGGTTCATTCATAGTATTTGGCTGTCTCTTTACAGTATCTTACCTTTCCATATCACTGTCTTTATGGGAAAAAAGATGAACACACTAGATTTGTATGTTTGAGTCTTTAGACTTTCACTGTCCCTGTCCCCAGTATTTCTTATAAATCAGTTTAAAGACTTGATTAGATTAAGGCTTGGCGCAGAAATATTTCATGACTTACACCATAGGAGACATAATATCAAGTTGCCCCCTATATGACAGTAAGGTTAAATTGCTTGGTTAAATGTTCACAGGGCTGGAGAGATGGCTCAGCAGTTAACACATTCTGCCCTTGCAAAGGACATGAGTTCCCAGCACCTACATGATGCTCAAAACCACCTGTAATTCTCACTCTAGAAGCATCCACATTTACACACACACACACACACACACACACATGCACATAATTAAAATCGTTTAAAAATTTGATTAACCCAGAACCCCAAATTGGTAGAGGGCTCTAGTGGCTTTGCTGAGGCACATGGTGGGACTTTATCTTTACCAGGTATAAGAGGGTGTGAAGGACCTGAAAGACCGGCAGGTAAATTATGTAAAATACTAAGACAATAAAAGGGAGTGAGGGTATTGACCAACATAGGGGTCTGTCTAGGATCCTCATCTGTCTAGGATACTCAAAAGCAAATTAGGCTGGGCATGGTGGTGCATTCATTTAATCCCAGCACTCAGGAGGCAGAGGCAGGCAGATTGCTGTGAGATTAAGACCAGTCTGGGATGGTCTACATAGTAAGTTCCAGACCAGCTGGGACAACATAAGACCCTGTCTCAAAAAATGAAAAGCAAATTTGATGATTTCCTGATAAGATAGAGGACTAGGGAGTGCTTCTGTGGGAGCCAAAGGAGAATAAGAAAAAAAACAAGTCTATTTCAAAGAGAATCTGGAAACGCTCAGAAGTCTGGAGGAAGCAATGGATACTGGAAGAGAGCAGAAACAAAGCCACATCCACATGCGGAGCAGCAAGCTGTGCAGTTCCCTGGTTAGGGGAGGGGACCCAGAAGCTGCCTAGAAGGTAAGCCAGATGAAAGTCCTACTATTCTTTCTCAGGACAAGCCCACAGTTCTCATAAGCTTCAAATCCAGTTACAGGTGTGGGTTAGGCAATACTCCGGCAGATAGGTCAGCAGAGGAGAGAGATCCCGTTTTGTTGTGCTGTATGACTCGGAACAGCTGCTAAACACCCTTTTGAGGATCTATTGTTTAAAAATGTATCTCCCTGGGGCCTGAGATCAGGGAACATCCACAGATTAAAGCACCTCACTTTGTCCTGCCATAGCCCATGCATAAAGAAAGGCGCAGAGAGGCGGTTGTGAATAGCAGGAGGGCTAAACTGACAGGCCAAAGACAAGCTAGCTCAGGCTGGTAAAAGCTTATGGAGATACTCCTGTCCTTGGTACCTGGGGATGAATTATCAACTAGGAATTAATGTGAAGTTTGATAATTCTGAGCCTGAGGCCAACACATAGATCAAATTCTGGCACCATCTATCCTATCATTCACTGCTGTGAAGTCTGAGAACTGAACCTCAGAGGTGTGCATAATTTTTTGTTGCTTTTTTTTTTTTTTTTTTAATCTTTGAGACAGGGTCTTCCTGTAGCCCCAGCTGGCCTTGAATTCACTATGTAGACCAGGCTGGCCTCGAACTCACAGAGATCCACCTTCCTCTGCCCCCCAAGTGCTGGAACTAAAGGCGTGCACCACCACATCTGGCTATAATTTCAATTTTTTTAATGGCTGAATAGAATTATATATGTGTAAGTTAAAATCAAATCATACCAAGAACCCTTGCCTTGAGGCCTTTGCACATTCTGTTCCTTCTACCAATGACACTTCACCAAGATTTATGTACTGCTCGCTCCTCCCACCTCCCTTAAGAGTGTTTTCAAATGACACATTGTTATTGAGGCCTTCCCTTGGCCACTCTACATAAAATAACGCTGTATCATCACTATGCTTTCTTCCTTGCCCTGGTCCTTTGTCTCCAATGTAACTATCAACATTCGGCACACTACACATTTTCTACCTCTTCCATATGATGCAAACCCTTTGAGAGAACTTTAAATTTTGATTCCTGCTGTAGTTCCAGTGGCTAAACCATGACTTGGCATATAATAAGTGGTAGATAAAGACAAGCAATGATTTTTTCATTTTGTACATTTGCCTAAAGCCTTTGTCTTGCAGTCTTTGCTTTCAGTCTTAATCTCTATCTTCCTTCAAAACTTGTGCACTTCCTACTCCAGCAATTGGTTTACAAGGTTCAAATGAGCTTTAAATGTACATCAATAACTTTTGTAGATATTAAGCCTCATTCAGATTGAGTCAAAGTAAGGAAGACTTTATGCTTATTTTTGTCTAGATAAGAAAATACTACTATTCTCTGAAAGCCTTAGTAAATTCCAGGTGCAAAAATTTTGATAGAATGTTGTATTACTAACGTGGTTTCTTGAAAGTAGAAAAAAAATTTCAGTTCCTAAAATGTACTACAGTTCTTGAAATACGCAAATATGAGCACCTGGTCAAATGTGCCCTTGTGACTGTCATTTAAATATAGGTCTGCGGTTTCGTCTGTCTACTGGATCCTTGGCAGCTTTCTTTGTTCTGTACATTTAGTGTTTTGATCGTTATGTGATGTAGGAAGTTTCTTCTCTGGTCCTGTCTATTTTGTGTTCTATATGCCTTTTGCACATTTGATAGGCATATCTTTCCTTAGATTTGAAGAGTTCTCTTCCATGACTTTGTTGAAAAAATTTTCTGTGCCTTTGACCTGGGTTTCTTCTATATCTATGATTCATAACCTTGGTATTTTATAGTATCCCAAAGTTCCTGCATGTTCTGCTCCTGGATTTTTTTTAGATTTAACATTTTCTTTGATTGAGTGATCCAGTTCCTCTACCTTGTCTTCAGGCCTTGATAGTCTTTCTTCCACTTGATCTATGATAAGAATTTCCACTCAGTATTTTATTGTAGTGACTGAGTTTCTCATTTTCTTTTATTTCAGTTTGACTTTTCTTCAGAAATTCTATCTTATTAAATTCTCTTTTCATATCTTTAATTTTTTATACCATTAAACTGTTTTCTCAGTCTTCATTCTGGAATGTATGTATATTCTCTTTGAGTTCCTTGAATGCAT